CCATCCACCTGCGGCCCCGCACCCTGGTCTCGGTCCCCGAGGTCTGGGCTCGGTGAGGAGGCAAGAGAGGGACGTCCTGGGTGCAGGAGGCAGAAGCCGAGAAAAAGGGGCTGGGGCCGAGGGGAAAGGAGTGAGCCCTCTAGTTCTGGGAGAACGTGGGCGCTTGTTAGGGCGGAGGACGGCGCGGGAGTGAGTCCCTGGGGAAAGGAGAAACTGATGACAGAGGGCAAGTTTAGCCTAGCCGAGAAGGGGAGGAGTTGAGTGATCAAAAGGGATAATCCTGGGTTTTGGTGGAGGGACAGTGAGATAAAGTACCAGTCAGGGCCACTGTTTAACACTTCCCTATCCATTGCAGTTGACTTTCTGAAGCCAATGTACCCGGCGATCCCCCTAGCCCACGGAGGGACACCATTCATCTCCTCCAGGACATTTCTCTCACCCTTTCACCCTGTGGGAGTCCCAGGGCTGGGAAGGGCTCGCTCCTGATGGCAGGAGTCAGCGCCCTGGTGCCTGCCTTCCTCCTGGGTTTGGTTTGGTTTGGTTTTGAGGGGACAAGTACTGCCAAACTACTTTGTCATCGTCGTAGGTCAGGGTTAAAGCATCATTTGGAAGTTAGATTAAATCTGAAATCGTCTTTTCCTGGTATGTCAAGTTCTGACCACAGTCACGTTTAGCAAAAAATGTTTTAGCAAAAAGTGTTTTTGACCACATCACTCCTGTCTTCAGAACACTACTCAATGTGGCAAATTACCTTCTTTATTTATTTAGTCATGTATTTATATTCTGCCATGTTAAAAAAAAAAACATCTAAGATGGCTTACAAACATACAAACAACACAAAATAGAAAACTAATAGACGATATCAATTGAAAAGATAGAGGTAAGAAGAATACTACAAATATGTACTAATACTCTGGGTTTGGAAGCTCCATACAAGCCACTCTTTCTACAAGTCATAGTTCAGCTTGCTTTTTCTTCCTCCTACTATTTTCTCTTTCCATTTCTTTTCCCAGAACTTTTCCAAAGTTACCAGCCTGCATCAAAACTTTGTTCTTCCAAAGATTCAAGCACATGTCACCATGTCTGGAAGGCAAGCTTCAAGTGGATCTGCTGACCAGGGAGTTCCAGGGTAGCCTGAGAAGGGACCCATCCCAAGGAGAGAGGGGATGGAGGTCTGCAGGTTTAGCCAATGACAAGAGGCCAGCATCAGAGAAGAGGGCTGTTGAAACTGTGGGACAAGGCAAGAAAGAGCTGAGTTTCTACAAGCACTGGGGCCGTGGCTACTGCTGCTGGCTCCAGCCATAAAGAAGAGAGGAATGTGGAGAGAGAGGAACAAAATGGTGGACAATGGAGGCCAAGAGGAATGGGTCTTGGCACCATGTGAGGCACACTCACCACATTGGGCAGGATTTTAGGGGAGCCCAATTATTCCAGAGCAATCAAAAGCAAACTTCCTGCTTTGTGACCCTACTTTTATTCCTAGCATGGAAGAGCCTGGAACGCATAGCTCTATCTGCTTCCTAAGGTTGGTTCTATGAGTCCTAAATTCACATCTAGAACCTGCCCCCCATTTAATGTTCTAGCTCCACCTTCCATCACTCTCACCTCACTCACCCCATGCCCTCTAGACACATGAAAACTGCCTCTAGAATTTTCAAAAGAGAGCCCTGCTGTCTCACATCACTGTGCCTTTTCAGATTGCTCACTCGGCCACATTTGCCTTTTCTCCCCTCTGAAGTATTTTCTGATCCTTCCTCCTGTACTTCTGCCGAGATGACACTGGCCCCTCCACAGTGGTGTTCATGAAATGTTCCATCCAGACCTCATGATTGCAGCGTTAACACTTCAGTGTCTGTTGATATGCTGGTTTTCCCCCATTAGCCTCTCTAGATCAGGAACTGCTTCTGGTTCCTGATTGTAAATGCATTGCCTAGAGTATGGACCAGCATGCAGTAGGTGTTTAATAAATATTCATAGAAAAAGTGAATAGATGCATTTACAGATCCTCCTGGAAGCATCCTCTTTATGAAGTTGGACAGTGGGGAGAAAGCTTGGCCCCCAGATATGTTGAAAGTTCTGCTCTGCATTAGTATTGAAGCAAAAATAGAAAAGAAGACCACACATGGATACACAAAAGAGAAAGTCTTAAATGGTTTTTATTATTTCATTAAGTAAAATCATTGAATGTGAAGTTATTGTCTTTTGTTTGTCTGTAATTGGCATTGTATCTAAAACACCCTGAGTGCTCAAGAAATATTAAAACTAATAAAATCATCTTGACATTGGTCAATAAACAGAACATTATCAGCATAATTCATATGCAAGAGACCCACTCTGCTTTGGTTTGAATTATCCCCGTAAATGAAGACAAAAGAGAAAATTTTATGTAAGTGTGGTTCATAAGCTGACTGAGTTCCCCAGATCAACACCAACTGCCTACTCAATTGCACAGAGGACTCACTTTCCCAATTTGGAAATTAATTACTGTATGGTGGGTTGTCTTAAATTTGTAAGGAAAACAAGAAGAAAGCATAGGTCCATTAAAAACTCGGGCTATATGGCAGAGAGGAGAATGAAATCAGTGGTAAGGGGTTTCAATTTTATTATTTTTCAAACTATTGTTTTTGTAAAAATGATACTTGCTCCTTTGTTAAAGAAAAAAAGTCAGGAACTGCAGGGAAGTATGACTAAGAAAGTAAACTAAAAAGATCACCTGAAATTCCACCATCCAAAAATAACACTTGTATGCATTCTGAGAACATCATTCCAGAACTTAGTCCCATTAAAAGCTTGGAAGAACAGCCTGTGGGACAAGAATTTGCAAAGAAACAGGTGAATTAATTTTGGAAGACTCCACTTGAAACAAACAGACTCTAAACATGCCAGTTACAATCCCATTTTTTAGGTTTCTTCTCACCACATGTATCCAAAAAAGAAACAGAACAGATAAAACTAAAGATTCAGCAAGGTCGCAAGGTCTTACTCAAGTACAGAACATTCAACCAAATTACTCATTCTTAAAATGAATCATTTTCTCACACTTTTCAATCAGGAATTTTAAATGTAATGTTTATTTTGAATCCTCACCCATTCTGATACACAGCTTGAGCTCAACCAGTGTGACTACCCCCACGCTGAGCTTCCTCACCTTCCTACCCTCTGCTGTGAAGATTTATTTATATTTCCACATTCATCAGCTGCAAGGGTGGGGAGGAGAAAGGAAAAAGGAAAGCCCAAAGGACACTAACAAACCAATGCAAAGTTGCTTGGCATGACTGGAATTGTCTGAAATAGGTTATTTCTTATGTAAATAGAGGAGTATTGTAATTTTCCTGTCTGCTTGTACCTAAGGTGCAACAATAATACTAAATATTTATAAAGTTCCTGTCTTCTAGGGAGCTCAAAGAAAAATATTTATGTAAGTGATCTCAGCAGTTGTCCAACATTCAAATAGGGAAGCTGAAGCATTTTCTCACTGTTGTGTGAATAGGCTTAGTTAGCAGAGGAAAGTTGGTCACTGGTTCAAGTTAATACTATGAGTCAGTGGCAGAAAATCCAAAAATAGAACTTTGGTTTCTTCCTTCCTTTCTTCTTTTCTTTCCCCTTCCCTCCCCTCCCCTCTCTTCTCCTCTCCTTCCTTTCTTCCTTCCTTCCTTCCTTTCTTTTCTTTTCTTTTCTTTTCTTTCTTTCTTTCTTTCTTTCCTTCCTCCCTCCCTCCCTTTCTTTCTTTCTTTCTTTCCTTCCTCCCTCCCTCCCTTTCTTTCTTTCTTTCCTTCCTCCCTCCCTCCCTCCCTTTCTTTCTTTCTTTCTTTCTTTCTTCTTTCTTTCTTTCTCTCCTCCCTCCCTCCTTCCCTCCTTTCTTCCTTCCTCCTGTTTTCCTTTTACTTCCATATTTTCTCCATTGTTTTCCTCCATTAGCCTGTCAAGATCAGGAACCGCTTCTGGTTCCTGGTTGTAAATGCATTGCCTAGAGTATGGACCAGCATGCAGTAGGTGCTTAATAAATATTTGTAGAAAACATTTATTACCTCACCTTCAATAAAAAGTAATATTTTTTCTTTTTTTTTAAATATTCATTTATTTATTTGAGAGAGAGACTGCGTGAGAGAGTTGGGGGGGAGGGGCAGAGGGAGAGGGAGAGAATCTCAAACAGGCTCCACACCCAGGGCGGGAGCTGGACTCGGGGCTCGATCTCATAACCCAGATCATGACCTGAGCTGAAATCAAGAGTTGGATGCTTAACTGACTGAGCCACACAGGCGCCCCCCAAAATAATAATTTTTAAAGCCACCAGGTCATCACTATGACACTTTCTTCCAGCAGAGCTGATATTTTTCATATAAGCAAGATGCTATGACCACTATTAGCCCAATGATATACTCCTCATTGTAGTAATGGGAGAAAGTAATGATGACTGTAGGTGAATGGAGAAGGTGAGGCTACAGTGCATTTACTTTTATTATCAGGAGCCTGACTTCTTGAGGCTGCTTTGCAATGGAGGGCCAGTTGGCGTTGGAAATCACTCTTAGGCTCTTACATATGAAAATAAAAATAACAGCAGGCAAACCATTTTCTCTGTTGCAAAACCTACACTTGGGCATTATCTATAAACTATGCTCTGAAATTGTTTCAACTAAAAACAGTCTGTGGAAGAAAAAAAGTAATGTTCTTTTTTTTATCACTAATGACCGTCTGTTAGAATTTCCCTTTACAGGGTAACCGTGATGTCTATCAATAACATGGTAGGGAAGAAACTGATTTATACTAGTATTTAGCCTATATTACTATAAAGTCATGCTTAAAAAGTTGTTTGGGTATTGATGAGAGCAATAGGCCCTGGAA